ATTATTGAGACCTTTTGTCATTAGCTTTAGGCAAGGTATACATTTTTCTAATAGTTGCGCTGTCATCTCTGGAGATATGTAATAGGAGGTCTTCTTTTTAGCTCATTTTATGTGTTTCACATAAAAGTTTATTAAAATAAAAAAATAAAAAAAAAGAAAAAAAAAAGTTTATTAAAATAAATACATGATTTGAAGACTATAAGATAAGGTATTAAAAATTCCCATTTGACGTGACATCCATTTCATTTATTGATTTAGTTAAAGTGCCTTATATTTTTCCCATTTTTTTGCTTTGAAAATTTTCAGACTGAAAGAAAACTTGAATGACAAGGGCAGGAAGTACTGGTGATTCATCGGTTGTTTAACAATTTGATACATTTCTATGCTTTATGTTTTCATTTTAAATACAATTAATTTCCATCTCACCAAGTAATATTATCAGTGACTATCCTACAAAGAGAGCCCCCTGGTGGTTCCATGGATAAAGCACGAGGCTATCCACTGGCGGCTCTGTGGAAGAAAGATGAGCCGTTTCCGAAAGCCTAAGGAGGAACCCTGAGGAGCATTACTACTCTGCCCTATAGTCGCTGCGAGTCACTATGAATTAGAATTGATAGTGGTTTTATGCTGTGAAGTCCCATAGGTGAGAAAGCAGTGGTTATTTACTCAATCCAATTTCATCACAGGCTCATGTAAGAAGCTTATGCAGTTCCCTCCAGGAGTCTGATTTCCATTGTTTCACCTATTCATAAAGTTCTGATGGAAAGCAGGTTGTTAGTTAATCACATACAGAGGCCATAAAAACAGGAGTCTCAGACCATGTGAGGGTTGTTTAGCATAGGACTTGGAAATAAAAGGTGTGGGTGGCGGGGAGGGGTGACTAAAGAGGAGAGATCATTTTTAATTGTTATTTTGAGGATCGCATCTTCCTGACCTATCTTGAATAATCATGGGCACATGACAAGTCTTGTTTCCATCTTAACAGATGGTGTTCGAGTCGCGGCCTCGACAGGGATAGACCTGCTCCTCCTGGATGACTTTAAGCTGGTCATCAATGATTTCACGTACCATGTGCGACCACCAAAAAGAGGTAAAGAGTAACCGTGATAGAGGTGGAGGTATGGGAGAGGGGCACATTATTTTTCCTTGGACAACTTGGAGAAACGTGATCTGCAAAGACAACTGAAAGCATTGTGAACAGATAGACTGTTTCATTGAAAACCTCCCTGAGCACCTGGCACTTTGCTAGGGCATTAACTAAAACTACGTAGATTCCACCGAGATATAGAAATGCCCTGCTACATTCCCATTCTCTTTCCCATAATACATGTTCTAATTAAATCCATTCCCTCCATATGGACTAAAAATGGCATTTGTTTAACAATATGGGGGAAAGCTATTAAAAATAAACAAGGTGTATCGCTGTCCACTGAAACATTGTAAAAAAAATTCCTTGCCCATTGGCTTTATCAACTTGTGAAATGTGAGGGGGTATCCAAAAAAAACACAAACCCCCCCCTCCCCAGATATTTATTAAAATTTTTTTTCTTTTTTTTACAAAGCAACCTTATTACCTTCAAAGTACTCTCCATTACAATTAATACATTTGTCAAATCTGCAACTCCGTTCTTGGAAACATTTTTCAAATTCATTTGTTTGGATGGCAGACAGCACCTCCCTCATTTTTTTCTTCACCTTGTCTACATTGTCAAATTGCTGTCCTTTCACGTCCCTCTTCATTTGGGAAACAAAAAGAAATCGCATGGAGCGAGGTCAGGTGAGTGAGGTACATGGGGCAAGAGAGGCATGCTGTTTTTTGCCAAAAACTGGAGCACTGAGATGGTTGCATGAGCAGGGGTACTGTCGTGGTGGCAAAACCAGTCCCCTGCCTGCCACAGATCAGGCCTTTTTTGTCACGGTTACACTATCTTTTCATAGCCTCTAAATAGAAAGCTTGATTAACAGTCTGACTTGGTGGAACGAATTCCAAGTGCACTAGTCCCCTCACAGCAAAAAACAAATAAGCATCGTCTTGATCTTTGATTTTACTTGATGAGCTTTTTTGGGGCAAGGTGACGATGGCTTCTTCCACTGGCTTGATTAATGTTTGCTTTGGGGGTCGTAAGAATAGCACCAGGTCTCATCACCAGTAATGAACTTGGGGGAAAAGTCTGGGTCACTTTGGAGCTGTTCTTTCAAAGCACAATGCTCTTTTTCCTGGTCAGTCAGAACACAAGGCACACATTTTGCAGGAACCATTCTCATTCTCAAATCTTCCATTAAAATTCGCTGAACCAAGCTCCAAGACAGTCCAGATAACTTCCCCATCTCTTCAATTGTCCGTCGCCGGTCTTTGAGCGCAAGTGCACAAATGTTGTCGGCATTTTCATCCGTTTGGGAAGTTGACAGACGTCCAGAACAGGGTTTGTCATCATTCGACATTTCATCTTTTTTGAAACGAGAAAACCACTCATACACTTGAGTTTTTCCCATAGCACTCTCCTTGTAAGCTGTGTTCAACATCACAATAGTTTTTGCGGTATTTTTCCCGATCAGGAAACAGAATTTCACCACTGCACTCTGATCTCTTAAATCAGCCATACCAGAAAACAAGCTTTGAGCAGAACTGCTTTTATGAAAAAATTCACCGTCACCAGAGAGAAACCACTAGGTGTATTAACTCCGAGCAAGTTGCTCCGTGCTCGCCTACTGGGGGAAACATGTACTACAAAAGCTCCACCCAAGGGAGCTTTTTCCCGGGTATTTTTTGGGTGCCCCCTCGCAATAGGCCCTTTACCAAACCTCTTTCTCGGATACCCAAAGAAATAGAAGTGATTTTTCCCTGTTTTGAATCTGTGTTTTGCTTTTCTTTGTAAATTCTCTGCGGGTGGTTGCTTTCATTTTATAGCCCCCCGTTGACTTAGAGGGCCATTCTATGTCGAATGAGTCACATGAGTTAACTTGGTAACTTTCCAGTTGCTGAGTAGCTAGATTTCAAGCTTGTTGAGATTGCTGAGAAAATATCCTTTAAAACAGTAAGACATTACTGAATCAGATTTTATTAAATAGGAATAATTAGTATGTAGGCTAAAACTGCTAGTATATTTTTTGCCTTTTCCCCCAATTACTGGACTTGAAGTCCTACTTCTAGTGTATATATAAATACAGAAATGCAGGCTTATTTCACTGTTGTTGTTTTGCTGCTTTAGTGTTGTTGTGACTTGCTTAGAGAATATATTAAATTTAGATTTACTATTGGATTAGTGAAATTTCTAAAGTTGAATAATATATTCTTGGATCCATAATCAACACTCACAGAAACAGTAATCAGTAAATCAAATGACAATAACAAAATCCAAATATGTTGAAGGTAAAAGTATCAGAGTAAAATTATAAATATATAAAATTAGTAGAAGGCTGTGAAGGACGGTGGGAGCCCAAAACCCACCTGCAGAGTATCTAGTCAGATTAAACCACTGGTAGACCCCGCCAGCCACAGGCAAGGGTCTTGAATAGCCTTACCGTCAGACAGAAATAATTGTAATCTTGATTATGCTGGATCAAACTTGATGCTTGGTCAGCTGACCTCCCTATTGACCCAACCTGAATTTATTCTAGGTGCAAATATATATCTCTTGGGTGTTCCATGACTTCCCTGGCTTTTTAAATATTTTTAAATATTGAAGGTAGTCTTTTCTTTCTTACTCATTACTTGTATTTTTATCTTTATATTACTATTATTTTATCCTTATACCACTTTGTTTTGATTTTATTTTTTATGGCTTCTCTTGGGTTTCCCAGTTTGTGAAGCACAGCAGTGTAGTGGGTTCATAGCGATAACTGATGCAAGGGTTTATAGGGGATGTAGAGGAGATAGGGAGGGTAAAGGGGTTTCAGAAGTAAACCATGAAGGCGGGAGGGGGGAGGGAGTACTAGAACTGCTTGTGATTGCACAATTCATTTTACAGGTGATTTAACCATGGCTGGGGGGGGTTCTAAAATTTATTGTGATGATTGTATAGTCCTGGATATGATTGAGCGATTGGAACTATTGAGTTGTATGATATGTGGCTTTAGGTGCCAATAAAAATGTTGGGGAGGGGACAGATGACATATTACATTGGACAGATTTGCTGTACAAGACCTCTTTAAAGTTAAAGAACAATGATGTCACTTTGGAGGACTAAGGTGCTCCTGACTACAAGCTGTGATATGGTTGGTTGCAGCACACACATGTAACACAAGGAAGACTGTAGAAGTAATGGTGCATTGTTCTGTGGTGCAGAGGGTTGCCATAAGTCGGAATCAACTTGTAGGCACCTAACAACAGCAGCGTTGATGAGGAGCTTTTTAAGACTTTGTTTCTCTTAAAATATATACCTGAACGCTCTCTCAGCTGTGTTGTTACCCAATAAGAGATTATGCCTTTTGCAAAAGCTCAAATAAAGTGTTTTGAACCCATATTTTCCTTTTAACACATACTCATGCTCATATTAGCAACAATTTTTTAAGTAAAATATCAAATAGGTTTTAATTTATTTCTATTGTTTTCCATCTCTTCCTTAGTCAAATAAAGTACCACTTCTTATTCAGAGATGTGATTACTGTATTTAGGGGGGCCAATTTTCCAGACCCACAAGTTATTTCCTCTTCCCTAATTTTACCCTTTTTTAGTGGAAAGATTAAGTGGAAGAAGAAGTTAACAGTAAGTTTTGGTGTCAGATAATGAGAAGAAACACGAAAGGACAAATATTCTTTGTCTTATAAAGATAAACTAGGTACTGAAGGAGAACTTTCAGGCAGGTTTTAAATTTTTTTGACATACAATTTTCATTCACTTTCACTTTGTTTGCCCATTTATTCTTTTCCTTGTTCATCAACAGCAATTTAAAAATAAGAATGCTCTCTTCACACACCTCTGCTGAGGACAGGGAGCTAGCTCACATGGGTGCCACGCAGCCATCATTTCTACTCCCAGACTGAGCCCTAGAGAAGCAGACGCCACATTGTTCTCCAACAGAGCAGCTGACGGGCTCAGACCTTTGGGTCAACAGCCAAGCACTGTACCCGTATAGTCTTAGGATATACTGAGATTAGCCGTTTATAAAGTTTTTGAATCCTCAAGTGTGGCCAGTCTTGTACTTAACCCCAAAGGACCAAAACCTCATTGCCACCAAGTTGATTGCGACCCTATAGAGCAAGGTAGAACTGCCCGTGTGGGTTTCTTAGATGCTACATGAATAGAAAGCCTTGTCTTTCTCTTACAGAGTGGCTGGTTTTGAACTGCTGACCTTGAAGTTAGCATCCCAATACATAACCATTATGCTACCAAGGCTCCAGTGGGAAGCAAGAGGCAGGAAAAAACTAAAATGGAGGAGGAGGAAGATCGTAGCAGTAAGGCTAGTTACAAACTCCATGGGTATTCTATACCATACTGGTATACAACTGTTGACCATAGCTCTGTAAAGCTGGATTCCCCAACCACTGCAGGATGAGAAAAGTAACTCTTGTAACAATTAGATAATTTTATAATCCATACAAGAGTCCAAAATGGAGAAAATATGGAGAGTACAAAAAGCCTTTTTAAGCCAGTCTGTGTTGAATTAGCTCATCAACTGCTTTTCTCCTAGTCCTGCTCCTTATCATCCCACTAGTGGTTATACGTTTTTGTGCTAAGGACACTCACTTTGATTGTCACCACTGAGTCTTTCCCCATTTATCTACAGGGTTCTGGACACCTTGCTTCTCTCTTAATGATAAAATAGCTTGAAATAAAAGGTTAGCGGGGCAAACCAAATATCCACAATTAAAATGTCTTGGCATAGACCTGAGTTGCTGAAGTCCTTCCCATTTGATGTAGTAGCTGAAAAGGATTTTCATTCCCCTTGCAATAGAGCATCCTCCATGCTTTTCAGTCCTTTGCGTACATGGGAACTGATGCCGGTGCGGAAACACTTACAAGTATCTACTTGCACTTTTAGTGAAGCGTGCACTAATCATCCCAGGTGTTGTTGTTAAGCCAATAACAAATCAGTCTTCTCTACATAACTTCATTTATCTATATGTAAACAAAAATTCCAGGGTAAAGGTTTAGAAGTTGTTGCCTCTAACCAGCAGCCTTATTTTTAACTGAAGCATTGTCAAAACCCTGGGGTCTAGTGCTGGACATCTGTCAGATCTCTTCTGGTCTCCCTTTTAAGAATCTTTTCATTGCTGTTAGTAGGTATTGTGGTTACATATTAATTTTGTTGTTGTTCTGGATAGTAATACATCCACGAGGTTCACAGTTCCAAAAGTCTAAAGAGTATATAGGGACAGTCTTCTTCTTCTTTTTTTTTTTTTTAGGGACAGTCTTCTTGTGCCTGTCTTCCAACCCTTTTCTGTCAGTAAGCACTAGTTTGGGTTTCTTGTTTCCTACCATAGATGCTTTATAAGTTCCTAAGAAAATATGTATATTCCTTTGTCTTTCTGTTATACAAATAGCATACCATTGAGTCAGTTCGGACACATGATGACGCTATCTATGTACAACAGAATGAAACATCACCCACCCCTGCGCCATCCTCACAATTGATCTATGTTTGAGCACATGATGGCAGCCACTCTGTCAATCCATCTCATTGAGGGTCTTCCTCCTTTGCACTGCCCCTCTGCTTCACCAAGCCTGATGTCCTTCTGTAAGGACGGGCTCTCCTGATCACATGTCCAAAGTTCATGAGACAGAGTCTAAGGAACATGCTGCCTATATTGCTTCCAAGACAGATGTGTTTGACTTTTTGGCAGTCCATACTTTCAATATTATTTGCTAACACCATAGTTAAATGCATTGATTTTTCTTCGGTCTACATTATTCAATGTCCTACTTTCACATGCATATGAGGTGACTGAAAATACCAAGGTTTGTCAGGCACACCTTAGTCCTCAAAGTAACATCCTTGCTTTTCAACACTTCAGAGAGGTCTTGTGCAGCAAATTTACCCAGTGGAATGTGTCATTTGGTGACTGGTTCATTAGCAGTTCAGAATCACCAGCCGCTCTGTGTTGGTAAGAAAAAAGCCAGGAAGTTACGGGATTCTCTCTCTCTCGTCATCGTGGCAGTACACCTGCTCATTCTTTGAGGGTAGCAAGGACTGCCCTGTGGGAATTTTACGGGGAAACCTTATCTCATCTACTTTATAACCATATTCTCACCCCTTCAGACATTTTATTCCCACTTAACACTTAAAAGGAGCACGATTTCATTTCCCTGAGGATGCTGAAACTGCTGTTTTGACATGGTATAAATAAAAAAGTGCAGAATTATTTGGGGATGGGCTAAGGAACAGATAGACCGTGATGGAGGATAAGTTGAAAAATGATAGCTTCACATTTGGTATTTCTGTTTAATAAAGGTTTCTATGATTTCATAGCAAATTTTTTTCCTTACTCTTAGATAATGTCCTTCCTTGTATTTTTGTTTTGTTTTGTTTTTTTCTTCTTGTATCTTATGCTAGTCTCTGCCTTAGCATCTGTTTTATCAGAAATTCATATTATCAGCCCTGTTTGCTCTTTTTTATTGTCATTAGCTTGTTTGTTTGGGTGGGATTTTTTAGTCTATTTTTGTCTTTGTGTCTAAGGTGTGTCTCTTATAGACAACATTATTGATGGAACAAAAATTTTAAGTTCCTTCACATATGTGTGTTTGTGTATGTGTATATAAAGACATAGTTATATGGAATACATATATACACACACATACATATTATCAACATATCACTACATATGTTTATCACATAGAGGGTACAATTGCATATAGTCCCTAGACATAATCAGACACCTCATGGGATCGGTTTACTAAGTTTGAACACCATCATCTCAGGGGACAGCTTAGTCAATATGTTCTACAGCCTAGTGAATAGCATCTAAGGACTTAATTTTTTCCCCAAAGTAGCCACCTAAGATACAATGACTGGTCTCTACTTGTCTGGAGAAAAGAGAAAGAAACCAAAGTCTAAAAAAACTTGTCTATAGGAGCCTTAGCCTCATGCATCTTGAGACTAGAAGAACTAGTGAGCTGGTACCCAGCTGTCACTACCAACCCTTCTGATCAGGGCCATCATAGAGGGTCATGGATAGAATGCAAGACAAATGTTAGACAAAACAAATAATTTGGAAAAGGCTATCAATAATGGTTGTACAACACAAAGAGTATAATCAGTGGAACTGAATTATTACGTGAATAGTTACATGTAGAGGTTGTTGAAGTGGAGAATGTTTTGTTGTGCATATTAAAAAATAATAATTACACAAGTAACAATGAGTACAAGGAGAAGAAAATCTTCTAAAATTTATTATAGTACTGATTGTACAACTCTTCTTGTTATGATTGAATTATTGAATTGTGTAACGTAGATGTAGTGCTAATAAAACTGTTAAGCAAAACACAAATTTTTTCAAAAGGCCAGACTAGAGGAACCCTATAGTGACCATCACCCTGAGTGAGATACCGTTTAGACTTAGAGCTGAAGCCATGCTAAAGGTCACCTCTCAGCTGAAGAACAGATTGGCTCATAAAATGATTACCACACATGAGTACTGTACTGCTTTAAACTATATATATACAGTCAACATTTACCCTAAAGCAAATATAAGAAGATAAGATGGAGTAGGGAAGCTAGATTAATGGACATGGAACAACCAGAATGGAAAAATTGAGAGTGTTGACATTTTGTGAAAAATGTAACCGATCTCACTGAATAATGTATATAGAAATTGTTAAATGGGCACCTAATTTGTTTTGCAATCTTGTAACAAGACAACATTTTTTTATTTAAATACTTTTGTATTTATGCAAAAATAACATGGGGCGGTGTCTAACGTTCTCCGGCTACACAAGGGGAAAGGAGTGTCCAACTCCACACTAACCCAATGCTGACTTCTATGAGGCAGAGGTCAGACATGCTTCTACCTGCTTTGCCCAATTTTGACCAACCTTCCTACCATACTCTACTTCTCTCCTGCGATTAGTAATCTGTTTTAACGGCCACCCAAAACTCACCGACAGTACACACGGTTATAGGATTCATTAAGAAAGTTAACAGGATCAGTAATGTTAACAGCTCGTTTGCCTGCAGTGCCTATTTTTAGCCAGGCTAGCAGACACAGCAGACTGGTCTTCAGTCACAAAGCTCTTTGGCCTCTGCCCTGCTTGGGCAAGGTTACAAAACTCCTTTAGCACTGGCTAGTGCCAGAAGGGCACCCCACTCTGCAACTCACCCTTCTTCCAGAGGCACGCAGCTTTACTCGTTCTGTTGGCTGAGAAGCTCACCGCTGCTCTGTCCCATGCTCTGGTGTCACTCTCTTCACATGGGACTCTTGGGGTCTAAAATACATCCTCTGCTCATGACTCTGCCTGATGCTCATGAGATTCCCTCATTCTTATTTCTGAGGTGGCTCACTTTGTGTCCAGCAGAATGGCAAAACTGACCAATCCCCACCTTAGAGTCCCATTCACTTTATTTGCATATCCCAACCCATTCATCCTTTGAGAGTTTACAAAGACCATATAACTAGGAAGAGCCACGTAATTCAATTTACCAACATTTGCGAATTTGAAATACTGTTTATTTTTCTTTAGGCATTACTAAAGGGAAAATTAACCAAAAACAATTTACAAGATCACACAAAAAAATTATAGATCTGCATTTTAGTAAGCATTAAAATGAAATTGACATTAAATCTGTTTTTATAAATTGCTTTAATTTTTTTCTCTAATGAATACTATTATTACTTTTTGTAATATTTTCCTTAATGTAGACTCATCAGTAGCATTTAACACCCAAGAATATAATGGTATATATTGGCTTTAAAATTACTGTAGTGTATGAAATGCTTTATTCTTACTACCTAAGAGCATCAGGAATAGCAACTCTTGAGTAAAGGCAAAGCTTATTTTGAAGTGTACCCCCTTTCTTTCAGACCTCTTAAGCCATGAAAATGCAGCGACCTTGAACGATGTCAAGACACTAGTCCAGCAGCTCTACACCACATTGTGCATTGAGCAGCACCAGCTAAACAAAGAAAGGGAGCTTATTGAACGGCTAGAGGATCTCAGAGAGCAACTGGCTCCCCTGGAAAAGGTAAACATTCAAAGCTTGCTCTCTTCGCGCCAGCTATCGTTTTCCCAGAGCATAAACGCTTCCTTTTAGTCTTCCAAGTGTTATGTAATTGAGCTGTGTCCATTGATACTCCTCTAGTTAATGGAACTGAACCATGAAAAAGTTCCAGTCGAAGCAAAGGAAGGATTTTTAATGGAAATGATTTGAAACTTTAATAACAGAATGTTAAGTGCCCTGCCCTTAACTCTATTTACCACTTTTAAAGCAAAGATTGGAATCACTGCTAATCACTGAGCATAGTGGATAGTGATTCTAGCTAAGCTCCGAATAACTATTATACAGATATTCTGCAGCTATTTTAAATGATTATGTTGCTCTAGTATGCTATGGAAACATATTCGTGCTATATTGTAAAGACAAATCATAAAGCTGTGCATATTAAGTTATCTATATACCAATACTCATAGAGTAGCTGGATTATCATTGATGTATAAAAATTCAAATAGTTTTTCTTTATACTTTGCAATTTTTTTATTGTGAATATGTGTTACCCTTGGTTTATACAAGTGTTCCTATTTTAAGAAATTAAATTTTGGAATGTAGATTAAGGAAGGACACAAATACTGTCAATGTGTTACTTTTCCAATTTTCTTAAAAACAAATCAAGGTTGTTCTAATTTAAGATCATTGAAAAATAATAAATTAAATCTGAAAATTGTTGTGAAAGGGAACATTTAAAGTCTTGTTTCCAAATTGTGAAGCATTTTTAATGTACCAGCTAAAACAAAATAATAATGATAATTTATTCAATATTTACTGTGTACTAAGAACTCTTGCTAGAAGGAACATATATTGATATGGCAGCACATTGAGGTAGTAGAAGGACTTGAGGCCTCTGCTCAAGCCCTCCCTAGACACAAGAACACTTTGTTGTAAGAGCCTAGCATTCTGTGTTGCTCATCCTCCCAACACAATCGCTGAAGACAAATGGGTGTATAAGCAAATGTGGTGAAGAAAGCTGATGGAGCCCAGCTATCAAAAGATATAGCATCTGGGGTCTTAAAGGCTTGAAGGTAAACAAGCGGCCATCTAGCAAGGAAACAATAAAGCCCACATGGAAGAAGCACACCAGCCTGTGCAATCATGAGGAGTTGACAAAATCAGGTATCAGGCATCAAAGACCCAAAACAAACAAAAAAAACATATTGTTGAGAACGAGGAGGGTTGGAGCAGTGACCCATAATCCATCTGTAGACAATAGGACATCCCTTCACAGAAAGGTCACAGGAATCAGCCAGGGCACAGGACAGCACCTGTGAAACACTCAATATTTTTCTGGTTCTTTGAGGCTTCCTCACCCCCCATTATCCTGACCCCAGTCTGGCCTTTCAGTTCTGGCTAGACTGGAGCATGTACACGGGTATAGATAAGGACTCATGGCACACAGAATCCAGGTCAGATAAAGCCCTCAGGAACAGAAGTGGAAGTAGCGATACCAAAAGGGTAGGAAGGGGGAACTGATCGCAATGATCAATGCTGCGTAACCTCCCTTTTCCCTCGGGGGGACGAACAACAGAAATGTGGGTGAAGGGAGACAGCAGTCGGTGTAAGATATGAAAATAATAATGTATAATTTATCAAGGGGTTACAAAGATGGGGGCTGGGGGAGAAAGAAGAGCTGATACCAAGGGTTCAACTAGAAAGTAAATGTTTAGAAAATGACAATGGCAACATATGTACAAATATGCTTGATACAATTGATGTATAAAATGTATAAAAGCAATAAAATGATTTTTTTTAAAGGAGTCTAAGTGGCCCAGTGCTTAAGAGCTCAGTTACCAACCAAAAGGCCAGCAGTCGATGTATAAAAGTGTAGGGATGCTACTCAACCTGTCAATCACAGGAGAACAGCGTAGCAGCCCGCTTCTGTAAAGACTACACCTTTAGCCAGCCCTCTGGGCTGTTCTAGCCTGTAGAATGGGCTTGTTCTATCAGAATCAACTTGACAGCAACGGGGGAGGGAGAGTGTTTCGGGGATTTTTACTAGTTCTCAGAACGACCCTGTTATAACCCTAGAATGTTCTTTGAATAAAAATTGAAAATAGATTAAACTTTGTAACCAAAGTGAGGGAACAGTAGAATGTCTTCTTCAAAGTGAGTGATCTTGTGGTTGGATATAGAACTGTCTAACTAACTTATTCATTCCCACATATCCAGCCGTTTCTAGGGTGAAACATAAAACAATAATTCCCTTTTTAAAATAGTCCTGTAAGACATTTTGTCGAGTGAAAATTATAGATACTATTTAGGAAGAAGGAGCCCTGGTGGCTTAGTGGGTAATGCATTGGGCTGCTGACTTCACGGTCAGCAGTTTGGAATCACCGGCCACTCCAAGGGAGTGAGTGCTCTACTCCTGTAGAAAGTTACAGTCTTAGAAACAGGCAGTTTCACTCTGTCCTAAAGGGTCACTGTGAATTGCAATTGAATGATGAGTTTTCTTAGGAAGACAAACTGTATTATGAGAATTGGGACTAACTTATGTCTTGATTATAAATCCTGCTAGTTTAATGAACATAAAAGCTTAAATAAGAGCTTGAAATTGATTCTGTGTCAAAATGTCTTATTATTGTTTTGTGTACCCTATAGGTACGAAACGAGATTGGCAGGAAAGCTGAGAAGAGGACCACTTTGGTGCTATGGGGTGGACTTGCCTACATGGCCACACAGTTTGGCATTCTGGCCCGGCTTACCTGGTGGGAATATTCCTGGGACATCATGGAGCCGGTCACCTACTTCATCACTTACGGAAGTGCCATGGCGATGTATGCATATTTTGTAATGACACGCCAGGTAAGAATTCTTCAAGTAAATTTTTATAAGCTAGTAATGAAGTTTTAATGATCAAAGCAGTTGTTTTCTGTCATAGTCTTTCTAAGGCCAATTTCCCTCAAGAGTCTGTGAGCGTGTGTGTGAGTGTGTACATATCCATGTGTGTTAGGAAGGTTGACAAAAAAAAATTTAGTGACAGTCGTATATGTGTATGACTTTATATCAAGAAGTAATTATATAAAAGGAAAACATCCCAACTCAGTCCAGATCAAGTCCATAAGTCCCTCTTCAGACTCACGAAGCCACTGCAACGATGAAGAATGCAGGAAGATCACAGGCTGGTGGGTGCAAGTCTCGTGGATCCATGCGGTGACCACATCACAAGGCTTGCAGCAACAGGGTCCAGCAGCAGCAAGGTAAAGCAGAGGGGGTGGTGGTGAGCAGCGGGGAAGGAGATTCCCAGGATCCTCCTTCTGAGAAGGCCATGCCCACAAGGAGGCACCATCAGGCTGTGACCTGATTGACAGGTTAGACTCCACCCCTAACTTTTATATACCTTCCAGTTGACATGAACTTATGTAACTACCCCAACATGTGTGCCACTATTTTAGGTGCTAAATATAGAGAAACTTGTAAGACATGGCTTCTACCCCTGTGTAACTCATAGACTTTAGAGAGCTATATAAACCAATAAATTCAGAAAAACAGACTATACCATGGTTTAAGATAAGAACAGAGGAGACACTCTCAGATATAAGATAACTTGTCGAGCTAAATTGGCTCCTCTTTTCATATACTCTGTAATTAATCTAACAATCAAGTAGGGAAGTTTTAAGCTTTTCGTTTTTTAGTGAATTCTTAGAATACTAGTATCGATGATAACTAAACAAATAATAAGGAAAACAAAAATCCTCACAATTGGACCAATAGGTAACACATGAAAATAGAGAGAAGATTAAAGTTGTCAAAGATTTCCTCTTTCCTGGATCCACAAGACATAAAACAATGCATTGCAGAGGGTAAATCTGCTCCACAGACTCCTTTAAAGCTTGGAAAAGCAAGAATGTAACTTTGAGGACTAAGGTGCACCTCACCCAAGCCATGATATCTTCTATTACCGCTTATGCATGTGAAAGTTGGATATTGAATAAGGAGGCCCAAAGAAGAATGGATGCACTTGAATTACGGTTCTGGTAAAGAATCCTGAAAGTACTGTTTACTGCCAAAAGGACACACAAATCTGTCAGGGAAAAGTACAGCCAGAATGTTTGTTAGAAGCAAGGATGGTGAGACTTTGTCTCACGTACTTTGGGCTTGTTATCAGTCCTGGAAAAGGACATTATGTTTGGTGAAGTAGAGAAAATAACCAAACTTCCTGCCATCAAGTCGATGCCAACTCATAGTGACCCTCTAGGACAGGGCAAGACTGCCCCTGTGTGTTTCTGAGACTGGCACCGTTAACGGGAGTAGAAAGCACGTCTTTCTCATGTAGGTTGGTTGGTGGTTTCTAACTGCTAACCTTGTGGATGGCAGTCCAACTCATAACCACTGTGAGGGATCCATCAAGGCTCATTCGGTTAAAATAAGTAGCAAAAAAAAGAGGAAGACCCTCAACAAGATGGATTGACACAGAGGCTACAATCATGGGCTCAAACAAGAACAATTGTGAGGATGGCATAGGACCAGGCAGTGTTTCATTCTGTTGTGCGTACAGTCTCTATGAGTCAAAACCAACTCTCTCGCACCTAACAACAACAATCAAACCATAAAGCTAAAAACCCCGAGCTACCTCTAAGTATGTTGAGTAGAGTTTTACACACACACACACACACACACACACACACACATACACACACAAAATGCATATACTCGAGCATAAGCCGACCCAAATATCCACCAAGGCACCTAATTTTTTTCCCTGATTTTTTTATTTATTTAATCCTTTTATTGGGGGCTCGTGCGATTCTTATCACAATCCATACATACATCCATTGTGTCGAACACATTTGTACATTTGTTGCCATCATCATGCTCAAAACATTTGCTTTTTACTTGAGCCCTTGATATCAGCTCATTTTCCCCCTCCCTCCCCATCCCCACTCCCTCATGAACCCTTGATAATTTATAAATTATTATTTTTTCTTATCTTACACTGTCCGATGTCTACCTTCACCCACTTTTCTGTTGTCCATCCCCCAGGGAGGAGGTTAGATGTAGATCCTTGTAATCGGTTCCCCCTTTCTACCCCACCTTCCCTCCACCCTCCCGGTATGGCCGCTCTCACCACTGGTCCTGAAGGGGTCAGCTGTCCTGGATTCCCTGTGTTTCCAGTTCCTATCTGTACCAGTGTACATCCTCTGGTCTAGCCAGATTTGTAAGGTAGAATTGGGATCATGATCGTGGGGGAAGGAAGCATTTAAGAATTAAAGGAAAGTTGTATGTTTCATCGTTGCTACACTGCAACCTGACTGGCTCAACACCTTCCCACAACCCTTCACTAAGGGGGTGTGCAGTTGCCTACAGATGGGCTTTGGGGATCCACTCTGCATTCACCCTTATTTACAATGATATGATTTTTTGTTATTTGGTGCCTGATACCTGATCCCTTCGACAGCTCGTAGTCACACAGGCTGGTGTGCTTCTTCCATGCAGGCTTTGTTGCTTCTGAGCTAGATGGCTACTTGTTTATCTTCAAGCCGTTAAGACCCCAACTGCTATATCTTTTGATAGCCAGGCAGCATCAGCTTTCTTCACCACATTTGCTTATGCACACATTTGTCTTCAGTGATTATATCGGGAATGTGGGCACCCACTGATATGATTTTTTGTTCTTTGATGTCTGATATCTGGTCCCTTCTACACCTCATGGTCACACAGGCTGGTGTGGGCTTTGATGCTTCTCAGCTGGTTGGCTGCTTGTATACCTGCAAGCCTTTAAGACCCCAGATGCTATGTCTTTTGATAGCCAGGCACCATCAGATTTCTTCACCACATTGGCTTATGCACACATTTGTCTTCAGCAATTGTGTCGGGAAGGTGTGCATCATGGAATGCCAATGTAATAGAACAAAGTGTTCTTGCATTGAGTAAATACTTGAGTGGAGGTCTAATGTCCATCTGCTGCCTTAATACTAAACCTATAAATAAATGCACATAGATCTTTTTACCCACCATCCTATATATATATATTTACATATGTATATGCCTGTATTTAGACCTCTATAAATAACCTTTGTCTTCTAGTTCTTTCCTCTATTTCCTTTTACTTTCCTCTTGTCCCACTATCATGATCAGCCTTCATTTGGGTTTCAGTAATTTCTCTTGGTTACATGAGGCACCTAATTTTGCCACAAAAACTGCATTTAAAATGTGTTGAAAAACTTGGCTTCTATTCAAGTATAAAGGTATATATTTTTTACTTCATATAAAGGAGGTAAAAAAAATAACTATATTCTTGGCTTATTTTTTTTAAATCAAACAAAGTAGATTGATTAAATACCAATATCTAGAACTAATTGTTGCCACTGCTATTTTAAGTGACTTGGAAATTCATTAGTGTCATTTTAGGAAGCATGAGCAGTTTATTATCACTTATTATTATATGCATGGTAACCCCAAAGATTCAGCCTGGCACTCCTTTGAATACCAAGCATTTGAAACAGGTGAGGCATTTAAAAACCCTTTTTCTGTTTTGTGGATATCAGAAGAAAACTGGGCATTACTTCTATGTATTTTTAAAAATCATTTTATTAGGGACTCATGCAACTCTTAACACAATCCATACATACATCAATTGTGTAAAGCACATTTGTACATTCATTGCCCTAATCATTCTCAAAACATTTGCTCTCCACTTAAGCCACTGGCATCAGCTCCTCATTTTTCCCCCTCCCTCTCCGTTCCCCCCTCCCTCATGAACCCTTGATA